CAGAAGTCTCCACGATAATCCAACTGCCGGTCATTTAGGGTTGGCTAAAACCCACGATAGAATTAGGAGGAAGTATTTTTGGCCAGATCTTCTGAGGAGCATAAGAAAATATGTCGGCCACTGTAGGGAGTGCCAGCGTCGTAAACATGCTCCCTTGCGACCGCCCGGGTTGCTGCAACCGATACCACCCACCTCTGTTTCGTTCCAAAGAGTCGGAATTGATCTCCTCGGAAGATTCCCAATATCCCATTCAGGAAATAAATGGATAATAGTTTGCACAGACTATCTGACGCGATACGCTATCACCCGAGCCTTACCATCGGCAGACGCTCAGCAAGTGGCCAAGTTCGTCCTGGAGGACGTAGTGCTTAAACATGGAGCACCATGAGAAATAATTACTGACCGGGGTAGGGTTTTTCAGTCTAAACTAATATCCGAGCTGACGGGACTTTGCTCCTCGGCTCAGAGATTTACCACGGCGTACCATCCTCAGACGAATGGTCTCACTGAGAGACTTAATAAAACCCTGGCCGACATGATGTCAATGTATGTGGACGTCGAACAAAAAGAATGGGACGTTATTCTTCCTTTCATCATGTTTGCTTACAATACGGCGAAGCAGGACACCACCGGATTCACCCCATTCAGCCTCATCCATGGACGAGAAGCTGAAACTACGTTGGATACATTGTTTCCTCTTTTAAAAGATGAAGATCAAGAGGACTATAATCGAGAGATAGTGACCCGAGCAGAGGAGACGTGACAATTGGCTCGGCTACATACACTGAGAGCGCAAGAGGGCAATAAACGACTCTACGACGCCAAACATCGAGGGGTGAGCTATCAGCCAGGTGATAAAGTATGGATATTTATACCCGTCCAGAAAATAGGGATATCCGAAAAATTAATAAAATGATATTTCGGCCCTTATAGGGTGACGAGACGCATTTCAGAGGTGACGTACGAAGTTGAAAGTCTAGACACTACTAACCGCCGTCGTAAGCCAAAGGAAATTGTGCACGTTGTGAGAATGAAGAACTACCATGACCCGGACGAACAACTGGACCTACCCGAGGATGAGCCTGCCGTCTGACAGCAAGGACGCTGTCCTTTTGGAGAGGAGGGCATTGTAGCGTTATTTGTTGTATTGTTTTACATAATTAAGTTTTAGATTTTGTTTGTGTTTGTTTTGCATATATTGAATTAATGATTGGTATATATATTCGTGTATTCTTTGATTTGGGTAGTCTGCTCGTTGGCAGCAATAAACGATTATTGTTCGATTTATCTTCGCCTGTTGCTTGCGATTCTTACCGTAACAATACAGTATAATTAATTTTAAATGATAATCATTTTGATTTTACAAAGGGTTTATCAGGTAGGTGTTCAATGGATACACGGAAGTCGGTGTAAGAATGGTATGAACCGTTGATTTTAGACAGCTACGATCAGTGTCAAGTCCCGCATTGAGAACTTTTTCTGAAAAAAAAAAAATTACTTCAATGGCCCCCGATTCTTTCAGAAATCCAACTCTACCAATGAGTGTAAGTAACCAAACTGGACTATTAATATATATAGTCACGACCGTCTTTCCTCATCGGCCTCTGTCACGGATGCGCGCGCACAGGGAGGTCACGTGCTCGCCAGCAGCCAACGGGCGCGCGCCGCCGGCAGGGGGGGGGGGGCATTACGTCACTCAAGGTCACCTACGCGCCAACGATGACACGTGATCGTAGCCGTCCAATAGGACGGCGCCGGCCATCCGTGACAGAGGCGGCCTATGACTGATTGATTAGGATATGCATTTATTTAAGGCGCCAATTTATAATTGTAACAAATAGTATTTGAATAAAAACATTCAATCGGGTAAAACAAGGGCGTTGCCCGGGTCATTCGGCTAGTTGCATATATGTAAGTGAAAGTTGAACTGTTTTCTACATATATAGAATAACCTACGAGCATACCACATTGAAAACACCGGTTCTCGTCTGATAACCAAAGTTGACCAATGTCAGTATGCTTTGCTTATCCTAGTACACCCTTTGAAGTGGTACAGTCATAAAAATAATGGTGGGTAGAAGTTGGCGACTGATTTTACTGTAAGTGCACCACATGTCTACACTGTGAAAAGCAGTTCAACTTTGCACTTACAAATGTACCAGAGCCCCGTTTGGTTACTTGCACTTGCTGGTGGGGTTGGACTTTTGCAAGAATCGGGGGGGCCATTTTAGCATTTTTTTTTTAAATCAGGAAAAAGTGCCCAATGCGGGAATCGAACCCGGGTCATAGCGGTCGAAAACCAACAGTTTAGACCATCCTTCCACCGACCCCCTAAAAATAATTATAATTCTATCAACAGTTGTGTAATTTCACTTACTTTGCTTTATACCCTTGTTGGGTCCTGGTTTCAAAAGCTTTAGAAATTGATTCCAACTTATTTCTCTCTTCTTTCTTATCTCCACTCAATCATATTAGGGTGTCAAGCTTGTAGAGCTTTTTGATGATGTCTGTTGACAACCATCATGACTGGGTGAAGTAGAATGCATCTGCCTTTGCGGCTGACTTAGCTTTAAAAGAAATGGCCGCCTCTGACATGAGGAACAGACGCCATATGCAGCGGCTCCTAACATGGAGTACAAACACTGCTCATCCTGTATCCCTGGATTAGGAGCCCTTACAGGGTACTATCAGCCGGGCCAGTTGAGCCCAGGCTTTTTAGTGAGCTTGTTACTGCTCCCCCTCCTCCTTTTTCATCCGGGCTTGGGACCGGCAAAGGCGGAGTTACCTGCTTCTCTAATTTATCAAGGCTCTTTCAGGTGATTTTATTAATTAAAATAATTCCTAGCAGTATCTGAGTACACTAAAACCCTCTAATAGAGTCCATGTTGATTAGTTTTTCTTTATTACAATCTCAATATCACTAGTCTCCCCACTTAAAAAAAAAAGGCGAATTGAAAAATGACCTCTTTATTAAGGTTACAACTTATTAGTCCCAAACCTTGATTTCATTGAAGAAGTTTGATTAAAAGGGCATATATTGGATCAAAATATCATTTATTTTATCAATATTTCAGTTGGCTGAACGCCAACCTATATCAAGGTATTATGTTGACATTAATATGTTATAATACCTTGATAAAGGTTGGCATTCAGCCAACTGAAATATTGGTAAAATAAATTATATTTTTATCCATTATATGCCTTTTTAATTAAAGATTTATTTATGGATTGCTCTATTTTCGAAATTGAAGAAGTTAATAAAAAAAGTTTTGTCTCACCACAATACAAAACTCTAGTACAATAGAACCTCCCTGTAAGGACAACACCTATTTGTAGAGCCAAAGTGTCTTTTAGGAAAGGTGTCCTCTTACCGGAGAGTTGTTAAATAGTCTTCTTTCTTATCTCCACTCAATCATATTAGGGTGTCAAGCTTGTAAAGCTTGAGACTTTTGATGGTGTCTGTTGACAACCATCATGATTGGGTGAAGTAGAATGTGTCTGCCTTTGTCATTAAGACTGGGAGCACTACTCAGTGGCAGGCTGACTTAGCTCTAAAATAAATGGCCGCCTCTGACATGAGGAACACACGCCATGTGCAGCCGCTCCTAACATGGAGTACAAACGCTGCTCATCCTGTATCCCTGGATTAGGATCCCTTACAGGGTACTATCAGCCGGGCCAGCTGAGCCCAGAATTTTTAGTGAGCTTGTTACTGCTCCCCCTTCTCCTTTTTTATCCGGGCTTGGGACCGGCAAAGGCGGAGTTTTGTTAAATAGTAAAAATGGTAATTTAGCAAATGAAAACTGTCACTTGTAGAGAGATGTTCGTGGTGTGTCTGTAAAAAATATTAATTGCACAAAATAAAATAAAGCTATCAGTGAAAGTCAAAGTAAAGTTGATATATCCATATAGGGCAACCTTTATTAAAATTAAGAAATGGTTTTGCCAAAGAGTTCCAAATAAATAACACAGAGGAAGCTTTAAAAATCTGAAGGAATTATTTCAAGGCAGCAAGTCTCTTTTCCAGGTTGGAGATGTTGTTCTGAATAGTTTCCAGATTGGAGACTGTGCTCTTCTGGACCTGGAACAGAGAGCATGTATAGGTGAAACAAGGATGGTCAGAGAGGTACAGCTTACCTCATTCAGTAGTTTCTCACTGCGCTGGAGCGAGGCAGACATCTGCTGCTGAGAGGTATCAAGGTGGGTCAGAGCCTTGCTGAACTGAAGAGCTGCACATTCAAGTCGCATCAGAGAAAGCCCTTAGTAGGCTTCAATTATTATGCATTTAGTGATATAAAAATACTAGAAACTCTGCCTTTGCCGGTCCCAAGCACGAATGAAAAAGGAGGAGGGGGAGCAGTCATAAGCTTATTAAAAAACCTGGGTTCAGCTGGCCCGGCTGATAGTACCCTGTAAGGGCTCCTAATCCAGGGATACAGGATGAGCAGCTTTTGTATTCCATGTTAGGAGCGGCTGCACATGGTGTCTGTTTCTCATGTCAGAGGCGGCCATTTCTTTTGGAGCTAAGTCGGCCTGCCACTGAGTAGTGCTCCCAGTCTTAATGACAAAGGCAGATGCATTCTACTTCACCCAGTCATGATGGTTGTCAAGCTCTACTCTTCCCCGGCAGTCACCATCAAAAGTCTCAAGCTTTATAAGCTTGATACCCTAATATGATTAAGTGGAGATAAGAAAGAAGAAGAAAATACTAGATGTTCTATAATCAATGTAGAGCAGCTCTCTAGTACCAACTACCCCCTACCATCTTGTTTTTTTTGCTTATTCCTAGTAGACGTGGTAAAGGCCATTATAATCATGGTGGGTAGAAGAAGGCGACTGCTTTTACTGTAAGTGCACCACATGTCTACACATGTGAAAACCAGTTCGACTTTGCACTTACAAATGTGCCAGAGCCACGTTTGGTTACTTGCACTCACTGGTGGGGTTGGACTTTTGCAAGAATTGGGGCCATTGAAGCATTTTTTTTTATCAGAAAAAAGTGTTCATGGTGGGAATCGAACCCAGGTCGTATCGGTCGAAAACCAATGGTTTAGCCCATCCTTCCACTGACCCCCATGAATAGTCACATACAGTATTAGAGTAGTATGGTTGATTAAACTGCCAAAACTGCTGGGAGGTTTCACTATAGATGAGCCATTCCTCACAATATTTTTCCATAGCAATAAGTATAGTAGGAAGTTATTTATCTAAAAAGACAACAATAAAAATGTAAAAATAGTACAAAAGTGAAAATGTATTGGGATCATCAGGTTTATAAATTGAGAAAAAAAAGCATCTTGGTTGTTGTTTCTTATCCCCTCGTGTAAAGATTACACAAATTCCACGAGTTTTGCTCCTCAAGCTGGCCTCTCTCTCAAAGGTCAATCCCAAATTGTTATTTATATCTCATGGAATGGGGTGTATGGGTGCAGCTTTCGTTGATCATGGCATCATGATCCAGGCACACTTTGGTGAAAGTCTGACTTTGCCTGTAGTCTGAGACTGTTCCTAAGAAGGAAGCAGAAGCCTTTGCTGCCGACTCTAATATGAATACAGACGCAGCTTCTCTGTATCCATGAAGTGGGACCTTTGCTAAGGTCAATCAACCGGGTCAGTTGAAGTCAGAATTTTTAAAGAGGTCTTTCTACTCTTCTAACAATGCTGCTGTTGGTCCGCGACTGCTTATTCGTCAGAGTTATTCTGCTTGTTTCATAGCTGGCCTTCATATCTGAAGATCATTCCCCTATCTGCCACTCGGGGACGGGTCCTGTCAGCTCTGCCGAGGGTAAAAAAAGAAGCATATGATCATACAAACTGAAAGTTGATGATGGCCTACACAATCTATTGTAATAAATAAACTAATCAAAAACTTTCATTATAATGGCCGACCCTTTCTTGATTACCCAAGAAAAGTCAAACATTCAGAATATTGGACCATGTCAGCATGGTGCAGGCTAAATGACCAAAAAGGCTTGATATTGAGGCTTCCTGAAAAATCAAGGAATAGCCATAAGTGCATGAGAACATAGTTGGTATGCATTTCATGATTAAACATGAAGGGTATTTGGCCAATATTCTAGAAAAAAATCAACGGTTATTTGATATTTACTCCAAAAGATGGCACAAGCCATCAGCAACTTTCATTAACATTATCAGGAGACGCTTTTTGTCTTTTTTTTACAATAAATAGTTTCATTTCCAATTAGATATCCTTTCTCATACTTGTAATACGCGACCTTCTTAAGACATGATACCACCTAGAACAATTATATCTGCATAGACAGCATCAGACAACAATAACAAGATTTAGAACAGGCCATTTCAAGCCAGTGAAGATGAAAAAAATAATAATAACAAAATCTACCCCACTTGCCCAAAATGTAGCTTGGCACCTGCAGCTCCAGAACAACATGGCTTGCATTAGATGCAATAAACAGGACCTTTGGGAGAGGCCATTGCTTATCATAAAACAGCTCGAGGAGCATGAACTCATGGAATTTGTATAATCTTTACACAAGGGGATAAGAAATCTATCAGAGATACAATTTTCAAGATATCTGGATCATTACTGATAGTAGAAGTGCCATACAACACTTGAGTCACACAGGGGAACTTAGAGACAAAGTAAGCAGGAACATAATTGGTTATAACACAATATAATGCCGCCCATGATCATAGAACGACATTTGAAAATTATCTCGCATGTATTTCTTTTGAACGAAAAATTGAAATTTATTTTAAGGAGAAATAACGATTATTTCTAACCTTAGAGATGAAGTATGAAAGGATGAATTATGAAGAGTAATGATGAACGGAAAAATAAAAGTGTCCAGGGATGGGAAGTGTCCCTCCAAGGAATGTCCCTGGACACTTTTATTTTCCCGTTCATCATTACTCTTCACAATTCATCCTTTCATACTTCATCCCTAAGGTTAGAAATAATCGTTATTTCTCCTTAAAATAAATTTCGCTTTTTTGTTCAAAAGAAACACATGCGGGATAATTTTCAAATGTTGTTCTATGATAATTGGTTATCTCCAAAAACTCTCAAAAACCTCAAAAATTCATCTTCAATGGATAATCTCATACGTTGGCATGTGTATACAACCCACCAACCTACCTTGTACATGCAGATCTTTCACAGCCAACAAATGGTCTAGAAGACCAGGTACATTGGCTCCCAGAGTGTCAGCTCTCTTGGCCAGGTCATACAGCTCCGACACTCTACCACCCATGGCCTCCTCAGTGGTGCGGCTTGAGGCAACAGTAGCCAGTCTCTGCTGCAAGGCTCCCAGCCGGCCTTCCAGCTGCTCCAGGTTGGAAGGATCCAAGAGGGCTGTGCGGGCTGACAGGATGTTGATGGCAGCCTGTCACAACCATCTAGTGCTGAGAACAAGTTTTAAGCCGGAGAATCTCTCTCTCTCAACAGTCTTGTTACTTTCACCAATGGCAATAACAATCGCATAACAACAATGGCAATATGATAAATATCCTAAATAACTGGCTACACCCTGGGTCCAGAAATTAACTCCAGTAAACAACTCTGCCTTTGCTGGTCCCAAGCCTAGTTGAAAAAGGAGGAGGGGGAGCAGTAACAAGCTCACTAAAAAACCTGGGCTCAGCTGGCCTGGCTCTGTAAAAAGTAAGCAGGAACATAATTGGTTATCTCCAAAAACTCTCAAAAACCTCAAAAATTCACCTTCAATGGACACCCTCACATGTTGGCAATGAAGCTGCTGATGCGCTAGCAAAAAAAGGCACAAAAGAACCCTTGCCACAGAAAAATAAACTTACTTTTATAGAAATAGAAACAGTAGCCAAAACAAAAATAAACAAGAACTGGAGGACCCCACTTAAACACAGTTGGTACAGTGGAGTGAACCCAGGAGGAGCTCTGAAATCAGAAATAGACAGCATCAAACAACACTAACAAGATTTAGAACAGGCCATCTCAAGCCATTGAAGATAGAAAATAATAACAAAATCTACCCCACTTGCCCAAAATGGAGCTTGGCACCTTCAGCTCCAGAACACATTTTGGCTTGCATTAGATGCACTAAACAGGACCTTTGGGAGAGGCCGCTGCTCATCATAAAACAGCTCGAGGAGCATGAACTCATGGAATTCGTGTAATCTTTACACAAGGGGATAAGAAACAACAACAACAATATATATGTGTTTGGGGGTCGGTGTAAGGATGGTCTAAACTGTTGGTTTTCGACTGCTATGACCTGGGTTTGATTCCCGCATTGGGCACTTTTTTTATGTTTAAAAAATAAATTCTCCAATGGCCCTTGATTCTTGCAAAAGTCTAATCCCACCAGCAAGTGCAAGTAACCAAACGGGGCTCTGGCACATTTGTAAGTGCAAAGTCGAACTGCTTTTCACGTGTGTAGACATGTGGTGCACTCACAGTAAAAGAAGTCGCTTACTTCACCCACCATGATTATCATGGCCTGTATCACGTGTACTAGGGATAAGCCAAAAAAAAAGGTGACTATTCTGCTTATATATCCGGTACTTTAGATGAATTCTTAATGAATGTATATAAGCAAATGATGGGCATAAGCTTTGAAGATGGTGGAAATATATAAATCCTTGCATCAAAGCTTGCTCTTCCGCAAACAATTCACAAAGGGCCAAACATGACAAGAATAAAATCTCAAACCTCTTGTATTAAATGTCTACTGCCACATCATCAAACTCACCAGAAATCAGTTTAGCCTTAGATGGCAGTGATGTGTAGCTGAGCCAAGAAATATGTTGTTTATGTTAGCAATCATAAAGTCAACTTTTGGCGACTATATGAACAAATATTCTCTAATTTGATCTATTAATGATCATCACCCACAGTTCATCTAGTGACCTTCTGGTAGTTTTCTTGACCCTTTCATACGAGCTTATTGCAGATCTTCCTCCCTTCCTTCAATTTTTTTTGCAATATCATTTTTCTTTTCAACTGTAGGTTAGTCTTTGTTTGCATATTTGGGGTTCTAATGATTGAAGATTGAAACATTTGATCTTTTATTGGTCCATGGCACTCTAAGTAGCTTTCTCCATGTCCACATTTCAAAGGTTTCAATTCTTTCTCTTTCCTCTTTTCTGAGAGTCCAGCTCTCACATCCATGTTTTTTTTTTTTTTTAATTATCCCTAGTACATGTGGTACAGGCCATGATAATCATGGTGGGTAGTTAGCGACTGCTTTTACTGTAAGTGCACCACATGTCTACACATGCGAAAAGCAGTTCGACTTTGCACTTACAAATGTGCCAGAGCCCTGTTTGGTTACTTGCACTCGCTGGTGGGGTTGGACTTTGGCAAGAATCGGGGACCATTGGAGCATTTTTTTTTTTTTAAATCAGAAAAAAGTGTCCAATGTGGGAATTGAACCCGGGTCGTAGTGGTCGAAAACCAAACGGTTTAACCAGCCTTCCACCGACCCCCTACATCCATAAGTGAACAGAGGGAATACCAATGTCTATACAATTCTCTTCATCATTTTGAATGAAATGCCCCAATCTTTCATAATCTTGTCCAATCTCATCATTGTGTCCCTTCCTAGTGCTATTCTTCTTCTAGCCATGCAGTGGTGTGAAACTGAGCCAAGAAATATACTGTTGTTGATGTTAGCAATCATAAAGTCAACTTTTGGTGGATTTTGTTTTTGAAACTTAATAATTCTTATACTGAATAATCAATCTTCTTTCTTATATCCACTCAATCATATTAGGGTTTCAAGCTTGTAAAGCTTAAGACTATTGATGGTGTTTGTCAGGGAAGAGTAGAGCTCATCAATGGATGAGTCAATACAGTCAATAATGTGTTTTGGGGTTGCAGGTTGACACTTAGTACATAGTGGGAAAACCTTACAACCATTCTGGAAAGTCATTGTCTGTAGATGACCAGACTTGAGTCTGAAAATCAAAGACTGTTGTTCTCTTGAGAGTACAGAACCGGTGCTTGTCCCTCCTGCTCTGTACCAGTCATGTGCAGCATTATATTTCCATTCCTGTAAGCATTAGGTTTTGATGGTACGAAGGAGGTCTCTTTCGTCTAGTTGGGTGGTAGATTCTCTGGCTT